TTAAAAGGGACATTTTGTTGAATGGAGCAGCGAACCTTTTGGTTACTATCAGAATCTGCATCCTGCACGTTAATGATGCCCACCTCTGTACCAGGTGACACGTTCTCAGGTATGGGGTTACTCAGGGATTTTAAATATATAACTGGAGCATTGTCGTTCACATCAGTAACATCAATTATAACTTTAGCGTAAGATGTTAGTCCTAAACCATCCTTAGCTTGAATTCTCATTTCAAAAGAACTGCTTTCTTCAAAGTCAATCACACCGGTTACTGTAATTTCTCCTGTTTTAGGATCAATTGAAAATAATTTGACGTCGTCATCCGACACGTGACCGATTTGATAATTTACGTCTCCATTCACTCCTTCGTCTGCGTCAGTAGCACTGACATTAATCACTACGGTATCAGGAGGAGGGTTTTCAGGCAGACTGGCTTTATAAACGGCCTGACTGAACACTGGGGCGTTATCATTAGCATCCAGCACAGTGACGTGTATAACTACGGTACCTGATCTCTGAGGAGAGCCGCCATCTAGAGCTGTCAGAAGCAGATTAATCTCGTTTTGCTTTTCACGATCGAGTTTATTCTCCAATACAAGCTCCACCTGGTTATTATCAACAGCGAGAATAAAGTGGTCATTCTTTTGCAGGTTGTACCTCTGAACAGTATTTTGACCTATATCTGCGTCATGGGCCTCCTCGATAGAGAAGCGGTTTCCCTTCTCAGCTGACTCGCTTATTTCCATTTCAATCAAATTCTGTCTAAATTTTGGAGAGTTGTCATTTACATCTTGAACATGAAGACTGACACGATGAAGCTCCAGAGGATTTTCTAACACCAGATCTACTTTGAGAACACACGACGGTTTCTTTCCACAAAGGCTTTCTCTGTCGATTCTCTCCGTGGTGATCAAATCCCCGTTATTCAGATTCATGTCACAGTACCGTTTACGTGTCCCTTCAATATCGACCCGGGCCTTTCGAGATGATAAGGTCCTCATATCAAGACCGAGATCCTTTGCTACATTTCCAATAACAGACCCTCGTTTCATCTCTTCTGGTGTAGAATAACTCAGGTCTCCATAAACGAGTTGCAGCGTTAGAATAACGGAAACGAAGCAGAGAGTGGGACGAAGTGCTGAAAATCCTTTGTCTCCCATCCCGACTCAAAACGCGTCCTTAGCCTGTAAAACTTATATCCGGTGCAAAAACGCAATATGTAGAAAAGATATCAATAATCCAAAACTTAATGTCACGATGAAACACGACAAAACATACTCGAGGATTTAACTGCTTCTCTGGAAAATTACACCCGATTCCCATGCAGCAGTAGTGGGTGGAGTGGTGTGTGTTCATTGTCTGTAAGCCAACAGCGACACCAGCAGTCATATTTTTATCTTTACATCTGCACAATTGACCAGTCTTACAAAGCACTAGATTGGTGTCTTTGAAAATGCCACTATGACAAATAATCATACTCACTACTGGATATACTTCACTCTATGTGTACAATAAACGTTACGGACACATTATTGTGTATAAGTGGTTAAAACCATTTCATTCAACTCTGACAAAACTCTGATCTATTCATAATTGGCTCAGGGTTACAGTTCTTGGTGGTTGTTGTCCCAAGTATACACCAAACCTTAATGGAACTCAGTTTGTAGCCTTCAAAAGGCTTCGGCACAGTAACAAATGATAGCTTTGATTGTGTTGCGTCAAAGTGTTAGTATGTGGTTTGTCAACAGAAACTATGGAAATAATTCTAATTTTAAAGAAAAAAAAAACGTAGAGAACTATCAATTACATATAATAATGAAGCATGTACCAACATTGTAAAAATCAAACTGAGTGTGATGCCTGCTTATCAAGATGTTAGCCAGCATTCATTTAAATTAAAGTAATCTCAGTAATAACAATTTATTATTATTATTATCAACATTATTATTATTAGTAGTAGTAGTAGAAGTAGTTTTTGTAATTACAGCTGTAGTTTATGTGATTACATCAATTATTTTGTGAGATCATTAAGATTGTTTCAGCACCATGGACAGAGGCTGTCAGATATGACAGGGCTAAAAGCACAAATAAAATAAAAAGCTATATTTTTCTAATGGCAAAATGCAAGTCAAACATTTAACGAAAGTAAATACAGACTGATGCTAGGGCCTGAGGTGATGGTGGACTGATTCTGAACTATATGTCCACTTATCACTTGATTATAGGCGACCAACAAATTTGTATCAGTTGAAAATGAATCGTGCATCTAAGAACGGGAAGCTTAAAAATGTTGAAAGCTTGCGCAAAAACCTTCAATAAAAAGTACTGCTCCTTCAACAGTCGTCATTTCACAAAGGTGTGAATATGATCGGAGCAGTTTGTCCACAAGTCCAAGTGTCTCTGAGAGACAAGCAAGTTGGAAAACATAGGCGCGTTAGTTCCTCTACATTAAATACAGAATGAAGTCAATGAATGTAATCAAACAGGTACAGGTTTCAGAAACCAACACAAGTTATTTGTCGGGAGTTATTGTTGTAAAATGAGGACCAAGTTGAAAAGAGAGACAACCGAGTAAAAAAAAACGTTTATCAATGATATTAGAAATGGTGACTGTTATGGATAGGAAAAGTTTAAATTATGTTAAAAAGTTGCTGACGTCGCCTTGTATGAAATGTATGAAGAAAATTAAGTCTCAATTCCTTCAGAGGACATTTCAATTCAACAACTGTTGAACACTTACATTTTGGACGAAAAGTAGAAATAAACGGACACACAAAAAAAGAACGTAAATATGCATCAGCCTTGACCAGCAAAGGAATTTGATCAGTTCCTACCTCTAAAGAGGTCCCCAGGTCTTCAAACGCATCAGCAAAGTCTGAAGGACTTTTCCTCAGAGTCTGGTCAGCAGGCAGTGTGTTGTCATTGTAAGATGTCACGAACTTAAAGTCACTGGTTCGAGAACCTGTTGTCAGGTAGGCGTCATAATTRTAAGTGCTGCGTAAAGTTCCTGTGCCATCAACATCTGCGTAATTAGGAGGGAGATAAGCGCTGGGGATGGCGACAGCTCCGTCAAACAACATTCTGGGTTTTCTCCTGCGACAAAACCTCACACCCAGGATGATGATGATGAAGGTCAGGAAGAAGGTGGAGACAGAGACCAGCGCGATGATCAGGTAAGAGGTCAGTTTGGAATTTTTCTCATCATAAGAAATGTCCTTCAG